TTATAACCACAAATGCACCATACGGGACTACATCGGAGTATTCCACATGTGGAGCAGAAGCCATATCGAGAATAACAGTGGTAAAAGAGTTTCTTAGCAACCATGTAATAGTTATCGTCATTAGACTTGGTAAATCCAATAATGAGGTTGTTGCGTTCCTTAAGCCATTCGGAGTATCGTCTATATTGACTAACACTCTTTTTGTACTCGGATGTTGGAAGTGAGTATATTCTAGCAAACTCACTCACAAGTGCTGGTGTACATTCTTCGTCACTTCCAAGGAATACCAGTATCATGCCCCCAAACTTGTTGTAAATAGCGCAGTAGACGTTGTCAATTTGGGTTGGCTCTATGTTGGTGATTTCCGAGTAAGGAATCCATTTAAGTTTGTATCCACTCTCTAAAGAAGCTTGGACTACGTTGTTAATTGCTGGATTATGCATATCTTTGACACTAGCGGCAAGAGATGTTTTATTGTGTTACAGCGAGCATAATCAGCAGATGTTACTTGTCGTTGCACAGACTATTACTAATATTGTATTATGCATTATTTAATTCTTTCTCGAAAAAGTCTACGACCGCAGTTTACATCATTGAGTATGGGGCTTTGGTGGCTATAAAGCATCATATTTTAACAATTTCAATGTTCTATCATTTTTGAGACCAACAATAAAATTGTGATAGACCGATTTATACCTCGTTTCAGCTGGCAAAAAATGTAAGCGATGAGTAATGCGATTAACATTTCTACCAGGACCTGGCAACCCATGGATTTCAGCATAGTTTTCGAGAAAATTTTTTCACGGCGGTAGCAACAGTCATATCAATGGGGAATTTGGTTTTCCATCGTGGCACTCGTTTTATGTTACCATGAACGCGTCGTATTATACCATTCGCTGCCAGATGATTTCTGACATTTTCGAATATCGTGACTCAAAAAGGTTTGCTATAAAAAACGACTGAAATTGAGCTATTTATGAAAAAGCTTCGCAACTGCTTTTACAAAATCTGTCCAACAGATTTCATTATTTTAAAATGTTTGCTCTCACAAGCGAATTTATTCTCGTATCATTGATCGGAATTATCTTTGGATATTACCTTTATTGTTATTATAAATTTCCAAAAATCAGCTGCTTATTATGAATCGGAAAATTGATAAAACAATTAATTTAATCGAGCCTACGAAAAGGTACAATAATAAATTAAATAATTCGGCAAACAAAGTTACTTGCCAGACGTCGAAAGACTATGGAGGAACTTTAAAAACCTGTTTGGCAAAAAAGCCAGGCTGGTTCCGAAAATTTTCATTTAATAAAATGGCCACTGAAATTCGCGAATTACGCATTGAAAAATGAAAAACGAATTCGAAGAAGAGAACGCTAGAAGCTATCGAAGAATGGATTGATAAAATAAAAAAAATAGATGACAGTGACAATATTATTAATATTAATTATAGTAAAGAAGATAAAGAAATTTAAATTTACATCAAAGTGACCAAAGAATAGATTATACTCATTAATGGCTTTGGATCCGAGTATCTCCTGCTTTTACTATTATTTATTTTTCGAGAGCGCGCATTCCATATTAAAATAATAAAATTTACACTTACGAAAAAATTAGTTGACTTTTGGTTGCAATTGTGTTGAAAGAGCAAATTGCGATACGAATGCACTTGAGTAGTATTTTATCATAACAATAAAGAACGATCTTTCATTAATAGGTTGCTCGATCGGTGGATGTCTTGTGGGTTAAATTACTTACGCTTTTTCAAGTTTTCGTTTCTTTCTTGGTTTATCATAAGTAGAGGTTAAGGTTCGTTTATGGTTTATTATTGTCGTTCTTGTTGGTAAATTTTATAAGTGATTTTTTCGTTATCTGGATATTCCTGGAGAATTTGGGTATCATTATTTTAAAACATAAGGCACAATTTTTTCTCCTTGAGCTTTCTTTAAAATGCTTCGAATGGTGCTGTAATTCTTTGGTTTCATAGTGGATTTGATGTAAACTAGTTTCATACTACAGTCAAATCTCTTTATATACCGATAAATTTTGTTCAGTCAAAAAATATCGGTATAAAAAAAATGACTTCAATTAAGAGTGGGCTTGAGAGAATATCGGTATAGTGAGATTTTATTATATGTCGTATAAAGAGGTTTGCCTGTAATATGTTTTTATATAGACGTAATCCTATATTAATCCTGTTATGGTTTATATTCATCACATTAAATTCGACAAGTCCATAGGTTATGAATGAGCACTATTATTATTATTACTTTTCAAAATGCCATCAGTCACACTGGTTAATTTTACAACCACATCATAATCAGCTCCTCATTTATAGAATGTCTACTTTGTCTGGTTTTGTTGCAGCATGCCCCAATAAAGACGAGTCTTCATGTTGCTACTTCCAAAAACAGGGACGGTCTAACGCCATATACGTAACATAATAACCTGATTCTATTACTATAGGAAAATTCTCAAGGTTTAAATTTCGAAGGTATTCGTGTTTTTCACGGTGCTTGTGTGAAAGAAAAACACATGAAACCGAGCAGAAGGGAAACAAGAGTGATTTCAAAGGCGTTACTGATCGATTAATATCAAAGTTGCAAATACGTGCTACCTTTCGCGTGAACTTGCTTCCATTCCTCAAAGCATCGCGGACTGCAAATCTGGTTTGACTGTCAAAGAGCCTTATTTGGAATACAATTAATGCAAACAAACAAGCTTGACCTTAGAAAATTATTATGTTCTTGTCTCTCCTTTCGGCATTCCTCATTTTTTTCTCTTGCAAGTGCTAAATATACAAATTTCTTTTCCAAATAACACTAAACCAAAACATGGGTGATGAGCTTCAAACGCTCCTCGAAACGCGGCGGCGAATGCTGTAATAGTAAGAATCAGGTGTATAGGTAAACATTATTATAGTTGCATAATAGTATATGATTGATAGGATAATTGGTATGTTTAGTTCGGTCAAATATTATTACAATTTTCCTTTATTATATACAGTATATAGACGTACAATAATAATCAACAAAAGTTATATCCATATCTCCATGTTTAACGTCTCACCAAACCAATGATTTCTGAATATATCAATACCGCAGTGTTCCTGACTTCGTTTCAAATGCAAGAATAAGATACGTACTAATTACAGGCTATCGTTAACAATTTTCAAATAAAATTCTTAATCCTGTAATACCTTATTACTGTCATGCGAATTCTTACCTTGGTAGATGGTTTGTGCTTTTACATACTTCATGCTATGCTACTTATTGCAGAAAGGTAATGTATTTAAAGGGGTGTTCTTACACTTTAATAATACTGTAAAAGAGAATTGTCTAAAAAGTTTTTGTTAACAGATTGAGTAAATATTTGCTAGATTACCTCAGAGGAAACTTGAAACCCATCTTTTCTTGAACACGTTTTCCACCATTAATTAACAGAGTGTGTGGGAACTTGACATTAAAGTTTATATTATAATATTTTATTCATGGTCTGTTTAATGTTTATTTATTGCATAATTGTTTGCTCAGGCACCTTGGCGTTTCCCCTCTCTCATATCTCTACTCGCTACGTGTTATATAAGAACATTTACTATTACGGTAGATGTAAACATCGAAACAGGTTTTAATTCGTCCGATTCTATGCACCCATTCCATCCGGGCACCTATTTGCAGAGCGAATTAAACCAAAACAGTATCAAATAGCAAATGGTTATGTATTGTCAATCAACAGAAACGTCATGTTCACAGCAGTGCGTGAGAAATAAATGATGCCAAAATCAGTGTCGGCAAATTGACGAAAATAAATAGAAGACGCACTGTACAGACAGGACTGAAATTGCTTCCCCCCCCCACTCTTCGAAAAAAGAAAAATGAGTGAACGTCTCCCATACATGCAAGCATGGTATGACTGCATACGGTATATTTAAAGGATTGTTATAATAGTAGATTGTTATTAATAATCGTATATTGTTGTTTAGCCTCGGCAGTGCAGCAGCTTGTTTGGTACGTGTGACATGGTTAAACTCCCCTCCGCAAACTTTTGATGTAACGAATGTTCATTTCTTATTCGTTCAGGAATGCGCTGAGAAAGCAGCCGGTGAAGGATGTGCTAAGCAATGTCGCACCAACGCTGGTAAATACAATGGCTATGGTCCGATTTGAATTGCCTGGCCGTAATTTCTTCTTTACGAAACCACTTGTTTCTTGAACAGAGCTCGCTTCGTGTACTGCAAAGCTCATGTCGATTGGTGCACCCGAAGCGAAAACGTTGACGGAATTGACGAGGACGTCATCGGACAGATGTGCTGAGATGTGGTATGTCTAGTTACGTAACGTGTAATGCTAAGCTCAAAAGTTTACGACGTAATAATTTACATACTTATCACATTCGATTGTCTGAAACGGTGATTTTTGCAGTGGAAAGGTAATTAATTAGTATATTTAGCAATGCAATCTGCACAAACAATCAACTGTTAACATGTTCATTTTGATTGATCAGCATGACAATAGTCACTGTCAGTCATGCGCCAACGCTGCTCGACAACTTGCAGATTCATTGCGAATTTATCAAGAGTCAAACCTTTAAACTGCAGTCACACGCGTGGTTGTTACTATTATATAACTGTGAATAATAAAATCAGGATTTAATGAATTTGTTTCCAAGACACACGCCTTCTGACTGATTGACCTTTTTTTTGTTGGTCCGTGCTCAAGATATGCCACCATGCGGGGTATTACTGGGAAAAGGGGGAAGTGGGGGTGTTGACGTTGTTGATGACACAGAAACTCTTGTATTTCAGATAATCAGCTAATAAAAATAACTCTAACCCTTCCTTTCCCCATAGCCCTTTCCTTATGATTTCATAATAATTGTATTACCGTTACATTTCGCTTACGCAAGAAAACACAAGCGCAGACTGTATCAGTTTCGCTAATAATATTGTTACACGTAATTAAACTCGGTAACAGAATTGCCTAATTCTGTTTGCACTCTGCATTCTTTTTATTGATGCGTCCAGACCAGCGGTCTAGATCCAAAGAATTTCCCACTTTTTTCTTAAACCTGCTTATTTTTTTTCTTATTACCTTTTATGGCATAGTCATCTATGCATATTTCGTACATCTCTCCCACTTTACCTATCCAGTTCCCTCTTTATTCCCTCGATCCGCTTTTTACCTCTAAAATTACGCCATTTTTCATATCAACTCGACTATTGCTGTCTCTACTATCTTCCGCTCTTCTGATATCATTACTTTTCCGATTTAATCGTTTCCCGTGTTCAATGTTGGCTGTGACCACCATTTCGCAGAGATAATTTACCCCAATGTCGAATCCTTCAACCGCAATAGACGGAGACTCGGGGGACTCTGGTGAAGAGACACCAGTGACGGAATTGGTATATTCCTTCGATTGGTCAACTACTCCATTGGGTCCAAGGAGCGATTGGCCCGCATGGTTAAAGTCGACTGTCGTAAGTAATGCAAACAAAAAAAGTGGGGCGACCAAAAAGTGAATTGTTTGTACAAGAATCATGTAAAACTATATAGAACGAACAGAAAAGGAGCCAAGAGATTCCCAGCGGGATTTTCCAAAAGAGACCTCTGGAATGTGATTAGAATGCGATCCACAGATATTCGTTACCAATAATTGAATACTCATCTCAATCTCGATTGTTTTCCTAGGATCTCTGCCTTCACTCGGTATTTCCTATCGGATTGTATATCGGGCCAGAAAGAATTCTCGTTTACAATCAAAGTAAATGACCAATTTTTTCGTTGGTTGCGCGTGTAATCTTGAACTCTCGCTTTATCAATGCGCATACATTTACAAGTTTGCTAAGATCACACTGTTTTTCATTGATTTATCTAGTGTGGAGACCTATTCTAAAGCGCAAGCATCCAGCTGGTGAGTAATATAGCCATATGAACGGTTATGTTACATGTCGTGCTTACTCAATTTACGTCTATCATATAGCATTAGGCTCGAAGGCTTCAGAGACCTGGTCTGAAATATATGATGTTTTAGGACCATTATTTGATGAGTATGTATCACAACGACAGCATCACACGTTAAACAGGGGAAGGATCTTCAGCATTGATGAGTATCTTGCACTTTTTCTTATACATCAATAGGGTTTTCACAACGGGAAAAGGTCAATTCAATGATGATTTCCTCTTGTACATGAATCGATCTGGTTACGTAGAGGAAGCATACTTTTCCTTTACGTTAAGTCCAATGTTTACCGAAGATGGTCAAGTTGGAGGTATATTCAATGCTGTGCAAGAAACTACACAAAGGGTTCTCATGGCTAGGAGACTCAAGACTTTGGGTGATTTGGCTAATGGGACACAAGGTACTGATGTCATACTTTATGACAGCGTTATTCCACTCGTATAGTATATATTTATATCGTTACTCGTTCAATTTGCATATATAGGCGCCAAATCAATCGAAAGTGCCTGTCACTTCACCACTGAAGTATTCCGAGAAAACAATATGGATATTCCATACGCTATATTATATCTCGTCGAAAATGAAAAAGTAGGCACGGAATTTAAACCGAAAAATGCCCGCCTCGAGGCTACAACTTTTGACAGAGATCTAACGGCTATCAAAGGACCTGATGGAACCGAAGAATATCTATTTGTTCACGGACAATCTAGCAGAGATCTGCCTGAAGTGTTACCAAGGACGCCAGAAGTGATTGATCTGACCGATGCGGAAACCTCAGACAACATGGTCGAAGACATTAGAGAGATTTCTGCATCTGAACCGTGGCCTTTGACACTTGCAGTGTTCAAAAACGATAACGTGACCATCAAACTGTCTGATAACTCGCTGGCTGTGCTGTGTCCAGTGATCACTACGTCTGCTGGAAAAAGTTTCCTGACGGCTTTGATGATATGTGGCATTAGCAAACATAGAGCTCTTGACACAGAGTATGAAGAATTTTTACATGTATGGCTATCGGTATCTTTTCATCATGTTTCGTAAGCACATGCTGTATGGAGCTCTCAACATCATGTACGAGATTCAAGAATTCGTGTATACAATTTAGGACTATGTAATTTGATCATAAGAACTGATTGATTGAAGAACTGAGAATAAGCCGAGAACTCGCATACAACATGTGTCTTACATTATGAATTTCTTGCAAATATTTCTCACTCACGCACTGTTTCTTTTCTTTTTCTTCCTCCCCTCACTATTGTGTAGCTGGTTATTGGCCAAGTGGGTTCTAGTTTTACTCAGGGTCGATCTCGAGAAGAAGAGCGAAAACAGGCGGAAATGTTGGCTGACTTGAATCGACAAAAGATTGCATTTTTCCAAAATATTAGTCACGAATTGCGCAGTACGTTTTTGTCAATGCGTAGAAACATGCTTTTTTGAAAGAGAATTCTGTCAACTAAATTACGCATATATTTGTTCAGGTCCATTGACGCTTATGCTTTCTCCATTGGAAGAAGCAATGGAGTTGTGTCCAAAGAATGCTCCAATATTTGCTCACCTCAAATTAATCCAAAAGAATAACCGAAGACTGCTCAAACTCGTAAACACTCTTCTTCAGGTAAACAAGTCATTTGAATTGTGCGTGTACGCATCAACTATACATGAATTTGTTGGATAACATTTATTTTTCCAATAAAAAATGAACCAGTTTTCTCGTATAGAAGCAGGCCGACTTCAAGCATGGTTCTGCTCTGTTAATATTTGTAGGCTGACTTTGGAATTAGCATCTAACTTTGAAAGCACGAGTAGATCATTCGGTCTTTATTACAAATTTGAGATACCTATCGATGAGGAACTCTCCAAGCAGTTGAAACAAAAGGTCTTTTTGGATGAGGAAATGTATGAAAAGATTGTATTTAACTTGTGTAAGTGATCAACCAGTCTTATTGTCATTGTAAGCCATTCAACGCAATTGCATTCATACGGTGATTTTGTGCCAAACTTTTTTTTTAGGCTCGAACGCGTTCAAGCATACGTGGACTGGTGGAGTAACTGTTCGATTGTATGCCGAGCCCAAAAATGATAGAGAAGGTGTTATACTAGAAGTAGCAGATACCGGTATGACAAAGTCAAGTGTTTTCTTTTCTTTGATTTTTGCATTGGCCAACCGACATAATAATCACTATTGGTTGCATCAACCATGCAGGTGTGGGCATACCCGAAGAACATATAGGAAATCTATTCCAACGCTTTTATCGTATCGAATCACGACAATCGCGCAGCCACGAAGGTACAGGCATCGGTCTTGCCCTAGTCAAAGAACTAGTCATAAAACACGGTGGCCATATTTCGGTTACATCCAAAGTGGACGTCGGCACGACTTTCCGTATTTGGTTTCCTACCGGGTGGGATCATCTTCCGCCTTCGCAGGTTCATTTCAATACCGAAAAATCTCCGGTTAATCCAAACTATGCGCGTGACAAACAACTTTACTCGAACGCGGAACTGTATTTGGAGGAATGCATGCAATGGATCCAACATTCAAAACCCACGCAATTTGATGATGACAACGATCCAATGTTGATTGATGATGGGTCCGCTTCGCAACAAAAAACTGACGAGTTGTCGGTATTGTATACTGAACCGGATTGTTTCGAGTCTGACAATGTGAAAAAATGTGTTCTTGTCGTGGATGATAACACGGATATGAGGTACGTTTGATTCACAACTCTTTTAATAGCGAAAAGTGTGTTTCGGAATTTTTATTGACAGACTTTTATAAATCTTAGGAACTATTTAAAGAGTTTGATTAAGCGACAATTCGATTGTATCTGTGCTGTTGATGGTTGTGATGCACTCCGAGTCATTAAAAATTCACAACGACTGCCTGATCTGATTCTAAGTGGTGAGTATGCTGCGCGTACATGCTTTTTTTTTTTTTTTTGTTTTGCCTGACTGAGATCTTCATTCACTAAAATTAGATATTATGATGCCCAATATGAATGGCTACGAATTGCTCGCTGCAATACGCAACAATCCTAGGATCCAAATGATTCCGGTAATTCTATTATCGGCTCGAGCAGGAGAGGAAGCTAGCGTTGAAGGTAACTACAAATAATCACAAACTTTGCGAAAAAAATTTTTTAATAACGCTATCGTTAATACTGTAGGACTGGAGAAGGGTGCAGATGATTATTTAATTAAACCCTTCAATGCTCGTGAACTCTTGGCTCGCATCCGTGCAAACATCAAACTTTCCCATCTTCGCCGTCAACTTCTCGCGGAACAACGTCGTCAATCTGAAACCAAGCAATTGTTATTTACAATCAGTAGCAAAATTCGCTCCGGTTTTGGAATACAAGAGACTCTTGACACTGCCATTGCGGAAGTGAAGAAAATATTGTCATGCGATTCTTTGTTAATTATCGACAGTCTTGTGATAAAGGACAAGATTGCCTGCAAAGTAATGTCTGCTTCATTAAGACCACAAGACGATCCAACGAAAATAGTTGGACGTATAGTCCGTCATTTTTCATGTGACAAGTATGTATCAAAATCCAAGAGAAAGAAAGCTACGTGCTCTGCTTCGACGGATGTACAGTATGACGAATACGAAGAATTGGATTTACTGGAAGACGACGAGTTGCACGACTCTCGTGAATTGGAAGTGGATATCAGTTCAGACTACGAATCGCTGGTTATAGGTCGGCGCGTATCTATTATTAGCGTAGCTATTCGTCTAAAATCATCTCTTTGGGGATGGATAGTGGCACACCAACGCCCAGGCTATATCTGGACAGAATCGGAAAAAATGTTTTTACAGCAAGTCTCGAATCAAATAAGTTTGGCTATAAGTCATGCCATACTGGTCGAAGAGAAATTAAAACGAGAGGCTCAAATGGAGGCTGCAAAAGAGGCAAATAAAGCCAAAAGTCAGATACTTGCCAATACTTCGCATGGCAAGTATGATGCATACTATTGTATAATGTTGCTTTGAAAATCCGTTCATCATAGACTAATAAGCTTTTTTTTTTCCCTCTTTTGGCTATAGAACTCCGTACACCGTTGGGTGCAATTATTGGCGCACTCTCTGCATTCGAAGGAACACCTCTTCGACCTGATCAACGAGACATGGTCGAAGTAATGACTCGCGCTTCCGATGTTGTTCTATCCGTGGTCAACGACATCCTAGATGCTGCCAGACTGGAAGCACAAAAGCTTACATTGATAAATCGCACTTTCGATCTAATCGAGCTTGTGGAAAAGAACATTGCAATGTTTGGCGAACGTGCCGGTTCGAAAGAGATTGAATTAATATTTTTATACGAACCAAGAGAATCTCCTAAATATGTGAAAACCGACCCAGAAAGGCTACAACAAGTGATAATGAATTTGCTGTCTAATGCGTAAGGATTTTAAACTCTTTGCTTTTTTCCGTTATCAGTACGATGTAATATGTGCTGATTCTAACGTCCGTTCGTGCTCCCCTCCCCTAAGGATCAAATACACTGAAAAAGGCAAAGTTGAAGTACGGCTGTCAATAAGAGAGCGTTGTGGCATTGTTGATGGGGAGAGTCGTGATAATAACACCAATAATAACAACAACAACAACAATAACAACACTGGCCACCTGCTTATAGAGATAATAGATACCGGCATAGGGTAAGAAAACAGCATTTTGTTTTGTGTTGCCTTTGCTCTGTCTTTTTTCTTTCCTTCATAATTCTTACAATTGAAAAACTATCAGTATTGATCCCAAGTTCGCACAGCACATATGGGAGAGTTATGCACGAGGAGAAGCTGCAATGACTCGTCGTAGGGACGGCGCAGGTCTAGGCCTCTCGATAAGTAAAAGTCTAGTCGATTTGAACGGCGGTACCCTCGGTGTTGACAGCGAGCTTAACAAAGGAAGTAGATTCTGGTTCACCTGGAATTTTGAGCATTTATCTCTGCCAACAATACCAAAGTTGAAAACACTACCCGGCAACTCGCATGATCAACAGACCTGGCAGGGAGCAGAAGAATCTTTAACGAAGCGTGTTCTTATTATTGATCCGTTTGAAGCGACGAGAACTGCCTTTACGACCATGATAAGCGATAGCGTCCGATGTGTATATGAATTCGCCGACTACCAAACTGCGATCAAAGCAGTCGAAGAACATATAAAGAGTAATAGTGAGCCTATGTGTGATTTTGCATTTTTCAGTGTGGGAGAGAAGAATGCCAAGCTTGTTGAGGATACAGCCAAGGAGCTGAAACGGCTTTGTGGCGAAGATCGATTGTCGATTATATTACTGGTATTCTGGTCATCTAGTGGACGCACTATCGGGAAGAAACTGATTGAGAATTTGGGAAAGAACGTCGCGGCCATTTGTAAACCTATAATGCAGAAACGTATACTAGACTGCATTTCTCATTTTGACTTGTACGTGAGTAGGCCATCGGATGAGAACGCTGCAGGAACCGAAGAAGATAATTCAGCAATGTATAGCAGATTCTACAACCATAATCGGCCCACGGCTGCTTATAATTTGTCAAACTTGAGAGATTCAGATGAACCAACTGTAATTCGAGGTGTTGCGGGTAATGAAAGAGAACGCAAACCCGAGCCCACCAATCGTCCAGCAAAGAGATCGGCTACCAGTGAATGGAAGGATCAAACCGATGTTGAAGAACGAGAGAGCAAATCGAGGAATAGGGTCGTGAATTCATCCAAATGCATACTCTGTGTGGTAATTAAGCTACTGAATGCTTGTTGTTTGATCGCATGAATGGTCTTTGGTATTTTACTAATATTCGATTAATTCAATGGTTCTATTATTTAGGAGGACAATGCGGTCAATCTCAAGGTAGGCTATTGAAAGCAAGGATGGTTTATTTCTAATGTAATCTACGAGTTTCTAATACAATCATTATTCTGTTAGGTTATCAAAGCTCAATTGAGCAAACTGGGATATCAACATTTATCGGCAGTAAACGGTAAAGAAGCTGTTGAAGTAGTGAGGAAGCAATATGAGGCAAACCTGTTTGCTTCTTCACCCAGCAGTTCGGAATCCAAGAAAATATCTTTAATTTTGATGGACTGTGCAATGGTAAAGCCTTATCGGTCATGTTTTTTTTGTTACCTCAAACCGAGTCATCCGACGCTATATATTAATTACTCGCATTCTTTCGTTAGCCTATAATGTCAGGGTTTGAAGCGTCACAGGCGATAAGAGCGATGGGACCGGAACTTCAAAGTCTTCCAATCATCGCGTTGACTGCATCCGCGATAGCAGGGACTAAGGAGCAGTGCTTAGAGGCAGGCATGAGTGACTATCTAACTAAACCACTCAAGCTGCAGACATTGGAAGGGAAATTACTTGAATGGTTAAGTGAGCATTAATTTATTAATTAGACAATAATACGAACGTTAGATTCTAGAACTTAAAAATAAGTTTTAAGCTACCAACGGACTGTATGATAAAAATTAGTTGATGTACATGTACGAATGTACAAGTGTATATAATTAATAGTAAGTCTATTTTTTGATTCAAGTTTTCTTACGATGAACGAGTGTGAGCAATTGCTCCATTTAAGTATCAAATATGATAGTAATAGGGAAAAAGAAAATAAATGCTAATAATCATCTGTGAGTTAGATACTTTTACGTGAACTTGCTTATTCGTAGCAGAATATGTTCCCTTCTCCGTAACCAATGTTTTCCACGTGTGATCTCATATCAGTGTTAAATGAACGAGGGCCGCATATCAGTATTTGACATTTGTCACGTCTCTTTATCCTGTCAAAGAGAGTATATAGCAGTTCTCGATTTAGTTTACCGTGGATGTAACTACTACCATCGTTATTTACACGTTCGGTCTACGAGTGGGAGAAAATAGATTAATCAAAGTTTAGGTGAATGTTACCCAAGAGACAGAATAATAGACCGTTACCCGCGTCAACACATAATCTGTTGTCAGATAATCCTCTTCGTTTTGTTTATCCAATTCGCTTTTCAACCAAATATCGTGTTCAGTCCGATTGACGTATATAAGATGAATGGCTGTTCTCTCGGTTGTAGGGATAGTTGATTGTTTGAGAATAATTTGATACATTGGAGTAATGCCTACATGGGACAGCAAGATTAGTAAAAAACAAATCTTTTTACAACAGCTTTCGCTGCAGATATATTATTAACGATTGAACTAACCTGAACCAGCCGCGAGCATGACAAATTGTTCAATCTATGAACGAAATTAAAATGTTGGTATCGAGAATATGCGACTGATTGCATTATTAAACACACTTACAGAGTTATCAGCGTGCTTGAATCCACTCATTATAGGTCCCCTCATATATATTAAATCATTAACGCGCAGTGACTTGAAATATTCAGATGGCTTGTGATCGTTATACAGCTGTGCTCCCAAATTGAATAGCATGGTCAAATTGTTTAGCTCGCGTCAGACCGACTATTAACTATTCCAGCATTGATTATTATACCTTCACCATAAGATGAAATTCACCCAACACTGATGGATGAGTAATCGGAGTAAAAGCTTTTGTGATTGTTTCGTTGCCAATTTTCATCCTATTATTACAGCAGCGTTGTCCTCGTCAAGACACTGGAAAATTTAACCATAAAAATGCGAATACTTTGAATTCTAACCTCATCAGCACATGCTCTCCGTCCTCAATTCCGAGACTTCTTTGCTCTCCGCTACTAGATAACGGTACCTTCCCAACGATTAAGATGGTGTCGTGATTTATCTCAGACTTCTTGACAACTTTGTATCCAATGTATTGTTTCCGGCTAGTGACTTTATCAGTAGCAGTATTCCGTGAGGGCATTCTCAGCGATTCGAGATCCACAATCGAGTTCTCGTTCTTGTATAATTTGGTATACTCTTTTCTCAGCATGTCGACCTGTTCATTATGAGCTTGCAATTCTTCGCGATATACATCAAAGACACATGGAGTACAGCCATTATTACAGCAGTCTGTTGGAGTTGGCTCATCGGGTGGAGATGAAAGCTGTAATTGAGGCTTATCGCAATTGGAGAAGAAACAAGTCAATAATAAGCTAATGGAGTAGATGTTAATAATAATTTAGCAACAACCTTTCCGTCATCATCATAATAAATTCCAATCGGATGATCTTGTCGTTTTGTCTGAGCGGCTTTTTTTAGAGCTATCGACGATTTCAACCGCTCCACTTCCTCTAAATATTTCTGTATTATAGGATTCATGAGGGGAAAAATGCGGGGCTTGTGTTCACTTGGAAGTGTAAATGGAGCATCTCGTGCCAAAAATCATTGATCTAAATCTTTCGTCGATATTATTCTCTTTGGATCAGGGACTTGTGATGACAAGCCATGTGACATAAGCCGAATGGTTGGCTGTGGATGACATCGGAAGAGTCAATAAATTTATTTATCCAATCATTATAAGAATGGAGGGGCTGTAATTTCATCCAATTAAAAAATTTTCTAATCTTATAAATACCCAAGGCTTGCCCCTCTTTTTTTTTTTTTTCACCTTCAATCAGTAGGAAAAAAACTTTACCTGTATACAAATCCGCCTTCGGTGGATGCGTAAGCAAGTAAAGGGATAATTTCCTTTGACATTAAGTGATGAACATGGCATGTATTATATGAGTATATATAATGATTAAAAAAACGACCGGCAGCGACAAGCCGCTTCTGATAATAAAGAAGGAAATTACTTGCTGATTGAGAGGTTTGATAAGCGGATAAACGAAAAGAAAAAAATAAAAAATAACGTGAATGTCTTTATTAAAACGTATCCATGTTAAGATTGTATCTAGTGATTGTTTGCATGAAAGAAACCAAGTGAACTGCTAACGTCGTCGTCGTTTCCTATATAATATGCTATCATTGGAAGTAGTTCGATCTAATATTCTCTTACATGCCATACTGAGAAGAGTTGTTCTTAACAATCTTTTTCGATTGAGAAAGCCGCTAAGTAAACTGATAGCCCTAAAATGTTTCTATTGATCATAATACATGGCTGCCTTCTAAGTAATGCAAAGATTCATAACTGTTGCGTGAGCTGATATGAATATCCGGCCATCTCCCTCACTGCCCCTGTTCTCATCTTCCGCACCAGAGAAAAATTCCTCGACAGATCAGATGGCGACTGTGCAATGTGACGTGTGAGTAATAGTTAAAGTCATACGCAAATATGTAATTTATTCCCATCCATGATATATTACATACCAATATCGTAATCAAAGTGTCGCTAATGGGTATTGTTTCAAATTCGTAAGGATAACTCCAACAGATAATCGCCTTTATGCCTTGACCTTTGCAGCAGACTTACCGATTCTCTGCTGAGTTTGAACTAATGGATCTGTTGATTCATAGACTAATCTATAGCAAGAGATGATATATACTCATGTGAAAAAGAAGTATTTTTTACTAGAAGACGGTGTTTCCGAGTAACGTCGTTAGCGTTGTTACGTCATTTCCAGGGGTACCCCCCTTGATTGGCCCTTCGAATTTAATTGCCAATTGTAATAATAAAAAGGGGAAATTGTCTTTCTCGGTTTGTTCTCTATATACTTTGATCATGGTAAGAGAAAGTTTTGTAGTTTTGAAACACATAATCGGATCATTAGTAAATAACAGTCAGCGTCAACAACGCAATGGATTGCGGATGACTGAGTATTCATAAATGTTAACGTGAGACCATCATACTCTTTTCTGCTTTACAACGAAGGCATCTCGCTCACGTCTACGCCGTCGGAACTCGAATGTGTTTGCGATATTTGACGACAAACAAATTATTGAATTCCAAGAAGCCTTCTCAGTGATCGATGTTGATTCTGATGGGTATATCGATAAAGAAGACTTGAGAGACATGTTGCATAGTTTGGGTAGGGTAAATCGTCGATATAGGATGGGGGATTTGGGAAGTGTGATGAGGCTTGTGTGAAATGACTTTTGATGTACTTAGCATAGCTTTATCCTCACTGCTGTTCTGAACCTTTTTCTTCAGGTGAACACCCGACGGACCAGTACTTGGATGACATGATTAATGAGGCCCCCGGGAACATTAACTTTGCCACTTTTCTAACTCTCATGGCTGGGAAGCTATGCGCAACTGATACAGAAGAGGAGCTAATCAAGGCTTTTGAAATGATTGATGAGGAAAGGAAGGGAGTAATACCCGTCGATAGATTCAGATACCTGATGACTAGAATGGGAGATCGGTTTACGGATAAAGAGGTAAGCAATGGATCAAGTTTAAAAGAAAAAGAATGTCTGAAGTAATTATGTTAAGTTGTTGTACCGATTTTTTAGTTCGATGCGATGACAGCGGGAGTAATTGACTCGAGAAATAATTTTAATTATCGTGATTTTGTGAGAGCGCTGAGGCATGGGAATCTTGATAAGTAATTTATTCACCATTCGATAATCAATTCTTAATTGGGTGATAATATGGAAATAAGTAATGTTTCCTTGTGTCAGGCACTTAAAGGACACTTGTATTTGTATAACTAATTATAATCTTACAGTAAAGATATGTACGATAGTATTCGAAGCGGCAGTGTGTTATGGGATATACAGGTTGGGAAGCTAACTTGCTTGCATTTGACACTTCCAATTGAGCATTACAGCTTTTGCATAAGCCAGTAGTGGTGGAGCCCTTGTAATTGAGACAATCATTCGGCTTATACACTATTCAAGGCCCCCGTATTCAAAAGTGTCTCGAATAATAAATATAGCCTTGACTTTGAATAATATTCAATGTCAAAAGAACTGAACATGTTGCTATATAGTAATGAACTCTATTTAAACTGAATGCATAGTTCGCTTGAAAAATGAGTGAGTGATTCATTTCGTGAATTAAACACAGGAAGCAAAAATAGTAAAATCTAAGAGATCTCTTATGTTGCTCTGTCACCTAAAGATTTACTTAAGCCGATTGCCTAACATTTATTCGATGTTAAGTATCACAAAATTTTGTAACACTAAGGGTAGGGAAATCTTTTAGTTTCAGAGACGCGTACAACGATCGACAGCTTGGTTAATATTAACTCATGTTTACCGTGGATTCCAAACTCGCAGATTATCGACGTACATTCAAGTCCACGTGACTTCATTCGTTATGCTGTTCGAAAGGAAACGTTTGATAATGGTGGCGTCAAAGAAGGGGAGATAATGCTGTTACTACTTGGAAGTAGCGAATTTGCTAGAATATACTCACTTCCGACGTACAGATACAATAAGGAAGCCAGTCAATTTAGACGATATTACAGATGGCTTAGACATCGCAACCAACTGATAAAGGGATTTACCGAGTATAATAACAGCTATTACATGGTCGCTGATAAAGTCTTTTACCATTGTTACGCTCGATATGGATTCTGTACTGCCTGTGGAATACTCCGATGTAGGACTAGCAACAATAAGCAAATCGATGAGCTTATTCAGAAATCTCAACTACAGGCAAACTCACCAAATGACGCCTATTTGGAATGGATTCCATACGATTGTATGCATACTTGTATTGTCTACCTACTTATGTACATGTTAAATGGATTCCACTTGAGATAACATATGGGACATATGATTCGTATTATGCTGAGGTAACTATTTTCCTTATGCGTCATGTTTGCTAGTTATCTATATAGTAATAGTATAAATACTTCTAGTGCATCTTTCAATACTCTAATTAGTAAGGATCGTTGTTAAACAAAAAAATTTGCTGTCGGGCTTTTTGCTAAGTCGTTGGCCAATGTGTTATAATTTGATTTTGAGAGCTCCAAATTTAAAGCTTTTTCACTTCTGTTGAAGAAGTCTATCCGTTTTTTGAGACATCCAAGTCTACAATTGAGAATTTTAAAACTAGCATGCTAGAGGTAAGCAATTCTTGTTTAATTTTATTTTTATAGTAATATATTATTTAACGCTTACACATATAACATGTATACTATTGTAGAATCCACTTCTGCATATTTGGGACACTTCAGAAGTAATAGACGATAACAATAATCAGGAGGAGGAGCAGATGGCAGAAGAAGGGCGAAGAAATTTTGAACGGTATCTTAGAGAAATGCGTGAAATAGTTGTTGAATAGCATAATTTAGATAAATTTCGATGATTAACAATATTAAAAATAAGTTTAATACCTTATTTGGGATTGTAGATGACATAAACTGATATAATAGACGTATAACAAATCCTGGAACATGGAGAAATCGCAATCAAAATATCATTGCTAATATTGGTTGAAGCAATAAATTATATTTATCGTTTATTATTATTACTATAATCAATATTAATATTAATACGTACATAGTAAAACTCGATAAGTCGGACAACAGTCACTGGACATTTCACCAAATAATTGATCAGTCACATTTTCCGAAAATTTTTGTCGATCATTTCCGAAGTCACATATAGTCGCACATATGTAATTTAATATTAAGGGTTAAATATTTTACATATAATCAAAGTATAGAATGTCACAATCGAACACATGATACGGTTGTAACAAAAATTTTATTTCTCGACTTGCTTTTCGAACTGTTTTTGCTTGCAGTAAAATAAACGGTTTTTCAGCGGGAATCTGTTGACAAAGTTTCACCCGGCAAAATATAATAGTATTATAGTTTCTTCCCACATTGCGCATAGTTTTTTCGGTTGCAACGAGACGCTGGCATGGCCATACTAATAGTAATACAGTTCTATGTGTGAACTACTTTTTTACTTATTACCACTTTGTTTATTACAGCAACCGTTTTGGAGAGATAA